AAAAAAAAAAAAAAAAAAAAACAACTTGGTCATGACATACCCTGTATCCCTAAGGAATCTCAGATTTGAAAAGGGAATCAAAGTGTTGACTGGCCTTACAAAGCCACAGATGTGCCTGGTGAGGTGCATGTGGCTATTCAGAGTGTAGGTTGGGGCTCCCTCCATCCTCCTTGCTGACCTGAGCTCCCTTTGTAAAATGGCTACTGGAGCCTTGTCCAGCATATTGTTCAACACAAAGTAGATCTGGCCCCTTGTAAATTGAGGTTGGAATTGGGTTTGGAGCTTAAATGGCCCAGGCTTCGAGAATGATACTGGTAAACACCTGATAAGGGCAGGTTGTTTCCTCTTTTTCATCACAGTCTTTACTTTCAGCACTTTCCACTTTTTTTTTGGAGAGGTTTTTGCTATAGGGTGCAGTGCGCTCGCCAGACAGAGACAGAGAGACAGAAAGCGAGAAATCATCCCCCAGGAGGGATGGCCACGCCACAGTCCCTTCTCCTCCATTCTCCTAATGGGATCTTGGGCATGCACACACATGCTCCCGGCATGAGTTTTAAGCTGGGTCCAGGACATGAACCACAGTCGACTACATGGGAGTCTAGTGACATAGCCATTACACTAACTGCTGGTCCCAGCACTTTGCACTTCAAGAACTGGCGTTGATGAGGCAAACAGGTAGTGTGGTGGTTAAGGTACTGGACTCCCACATGGCCAACTATGGTTCACATCCTGGACCTGGCAGCTTGCTTTCTCACCTACTCTCTCTGCTGAGCACATGTGCCTTGTAGCAAATTTAAAAAATAATGGTGATAAATAAAGTTAATTCTTTAAAAAGCAAAAGCTAGTGTTGATTCCCCTTTAAAAATCCGTTATACAGGGGCCAGCAGATGGCATAGTGGTTACATCGCTGGGCTCCTACATGGTCAACTTCAGTTTCATTCCTTGACCTGGTGGTTTGAAACTCACGCTGGGCTCATGTGCATGTGTGCCCAAGATCCTAGGAGGAGAATGGATGAGAAGGGGCTGCAAATAGCCATCTACCCTGGGGGGTGATGTCTCACTTTCCCTCTCATTGTCTCTGCTGCTCTCCAGTGAGCGCACATACCCCAAGACAAAAAAACTCTACAAAAAATCCAATCCATCATACATTTTCATTTTTCTAGGAAACCATAAAACTTGGTCTGATAAATATTAACAATAAATTTATTGTCTTTGCAACTTCTGGAAGATTTTAATTTGAGTAGAAGGACCTAGTAAAGTTGGTAGTGACTGGGGTGGTTTTCCATAGAACAGCAAAACAACGGGACTGCGGAGAATAACTGTTTCCTTCCCTACTGCAAGCCAAGAGGATCTCAGCCCAGAACCATCAACTCCCGTCATTACAGGGAGGTCTTGGAATTCTCCTCTTAGGGTGGCTCTTGTCCTCATGCCTCTTCCTCCTCTCCAGCTGGAAGGCAGGAGCAGGACAAGGCAGGAGGGATTTGCCGTACCCTCTGCTGGGGCCCCCACAGGACCATTCTGTGACTCCAGCCTTGTGCTTCTGTGACCTTAGCTGCAGCCACCCGGAACACATCCCGCAGGGTATTCATAACAAAGCTAAGCCCCAAAGAGTCCTAGTCCTGAGTTACAGTGTTTGAGGATATATAGGGTAGCCCCTTAAAATGGGTCAGACATTTTATTTCCTTTCCTTCCTCAAGCCTCCAGTAAAGGCAGCTGGTGCCCGATTAGTAAATACACTGGACACGTTTGGAAGAAGCTGCAGAGGATGACCAGTGGGTCCCTAGCCGTCCTAGCCCAGTTTACAGCAAGGCGTTTGGGACTAGCCCAGATCCTGAGACTACCAGAGCTGCCAGTCCTCCTAAGGGAAGCAGAGCGCCGAGCACAGCCGGGCAATTCCTCCCCTTCGCCCTCTCCCAGACACCCGCCAGCAGGGGGCGCGGGTTAATTCTGGGTCCTCTGGCTACCCTAGAGCCCAACAGCTGCGGGTCAGATCCGGCGCGACTCCGTGCCTCGCTCCGCTCTGTCCCGGGGAAGAAGCCAAGCATTGAGACTAAGGCCGGTCAATGAACACCGCACGCTACAAGGCAGGTCTGCGGGCCCTCCGGATGCATGGGGCCCTCGCTGCAGGGTCTGTGGGGATCCACCCGACCTTCGACACCCCCACGCGCCCACAGGCACAGCTCCCACTGAGAGGGCTCCAACAGAGATAGTGTCCACTGAGACAGCGCTTTGCCCTGGGCTCCCTAAATACTGTTTTTCAAACAAATGAAAAAGTCTCTAAAATGAGCGTAGAACTTTCCATTCTGTCAGGAAGGCAAGGTATCTAGTGAGAATTACAGGAATTAAGCCATCCTGGCATCAAACTATGATTTTAATTTCTTTGAGAATTAGTTTCTGCCAGTCCCAGTTTACTAAAATTCTGTGTCGACATGGTTACCTGGAGAAAACAGGCGTCAGCTCTAGAGGCAAGTCGACAGAATGAACCTCCAAATACTTTATTGGCTGCTTTGTACAAAATAGGAAGGTGTATTTTGGTCCCTTTTGAGGACACTGGATGATATTATTTACTGACGTTCAGGGAACACTTTAGTACAAAGGCGATTTGTAAAAGCAGTTTTTAAATATCTGTAAGATACCCACAAACAGGCTTCAAGTATCAATTATAACACTGTGTTTACAACATTAAAAACAACGAGACGCTGAACCAGAAGCAGTTCAGTGCGTGAGGTCTGGTTCAGTGAGCTAGGCCTGGGCGCTGCTCGACTCCAGGCTTTGGGACCGGGTTGGCTGCATCTGTCCTGTGGGCCTGTGTGTTAACACCTCCCACCCTGAGCCACTCCCCGACGGACGGACCCTCAGTCCCAAGGTCTCACCTTGGGCGTGTATCCAGGCCATCCTAAGACAGATAGTACATGCCATAGGCGGCTAACGGCCCTGCAAGGAGGGCAGGCACCGGCCGGCGCGGGGGCGCC